CCCCTACCCCTACCCGTACCCCTACCCCCACCCCTACCCTACCCATACCCCTTCTCCTCCTCCACAACTACTACTACGACTATACTACGACTACAACTTACTATTACGACTACTACTTACTACTATGACAACTTTTTTTATTGCGAGGACTACTACTACGACGACGACGACGACGACGACGACTACTACTTCTTCTTCTCCTTTCTACTTCTAACATTGGCTTCTACGTCTGTTTCCTACATCTATCAGTACGAATTTGCCAGGGGTGCCGGAGGTCCTGGACTAGGCAGAACCGGATACAGTCACCCCAAGAAGTTGCAATTCTCTCATCTTCAAGATTTAAGGGCCATTTATTGGGGGTTCACCATGCAGTGCTCTTCGCACCCACTTGCGCACAAAGAGCTGCTTCAGCCAGAACTTCTGCCAAATCCAGCTCAGGTGCTCATGGGCATCGGTGCCGCCATGTAGGTTCCGGGTGCCTCCGATGATTTGTCTAAGTCGGAACATGTTCGGTCCCGATTTTCTGAAGAGGCAACACTCCCAAGTGCGCCAGCAGGACCGAGCAATGTGAGCCCGGCATAACTGGCAGCGTTGTGGGCATCACCTGGCTGGCTGCATGGGCACTTACCAGGACTTTCGACAAATGTCACAGCTTGAAAACGGACCACCTGCCCAGCGCAATAACCGGCAGGCACTGCCGAAATGGACCTTGAAGGGATGTTCTTCAACACGTTTGACAGTATCCTTACCCCACTCCTGGCGAGTTTCGGCCGCCATGCGGCACAAGTACAGAGAGGGTCTCTAAGAGTCCGGCATCCTGACCTCCGCAACAACCAATGCCTTCAGCACGGGTGTTGCGGTTTGCCACGGCAGTAACCCGCAAAATCAACGCCGCTTAGCCCGCCTCGGCTGCAGAGAGGTTCGACTCTGAGTCTTGAGCCAAAATCACAGGCGGCAATTGAAGGCGTTGCGGCAACAGGTCTTGTGGGCACAAGGCCTAAGATGTCCCAAGGCCTTTTTCGCGGGATGCCCCCTCAGTAAGGAGCTGCCCTTTCAGAAGGAACGCCCGGTCGCACCTTGATTGGGTGGAGAAAGCTTCTCCTAGAAATCCCCCGTCTTTGCATGATTTAGGGCAGTGACCGGAGAGAAAGCTGCATCCTGTCCCAGCAGGCTCACGCCCTCCAGGATCACCTCCTTGGCCTACCATGAGAGTGAGGAGATTTTGCTGCCGACAGCACTGCTGGCTCTGTAGAGCCCGCACGACCCGCACGCCCTTGGCCTGGAGTTTGCCGCTCTCCCCGACTTCGATGCTGAATCTGACCTGCTGCCCTACCTCCGGAAGGCCTGAGTCAGCGTTTGAGGCAACTCCTCTCCCAACTAGCGCCGAGTGTGACGGACGGTGACAGCCGACTGAGCTGGATCGCTGGCGGCATCTTGTAGAGCATTCTGGTGAAGAAAGATGTCCTCCGCATGCGACCAAGCTACAGATACAACTGTGTCTTGTGTATTTTGCGTATCATCTCCTGAAACTTGGGTTGGAATGATTCCTAGACAGATTGACAGATACGCAACTGCACCAGGTTATTGTGCAGTCCTTCCCAGAAAACAGGGCAGTGATCTCGTCGCTAGTGACGAAACCCCAGCGCTTCTCGGCATTGAACATCCTCAGCAGCTGATGAGGACTCACACTCTGTTTATTCCACCAGGTGAAGCGTGCCACAGCTCGGAGTCGAGGGCCGCCCCTTTTGCTTCAACTTCGCTATCGCGCGAGCTTCCTCAAAGCTTCCGGAGGCTCCTGCCCAGCGTCCTCAATGACTTTAACGAGACCGCGGGCCATGCGGGCCTTGTCTGAGGCGCCGAAGTCGCAGGTGAAGAAGCTCACAGCTGTGCCGTGAGCGCCCGCTCTTCCGGTTCGACCAATGCGATGGACGTAGTCCTCGATCGTCTTAGGCATGCTGTAGTTCACCACGTAGGCGACATCCTTGATGTCAAGGCCTCCAGGCTTCGCAACAGTGAGAACAGCTCAAACCCTAGACAGCAACCTCCCCAAAAATCCCATTGCGGACCTCGCTGGGCGACATCTGTTGCAACCAGAATTTGGCAGCGACCTTTCCTGAACTGATGTAACATTGAATCACGCTCCCTCTGGTCCTTGTCCCCGTGTATCGCACTGGCTGCATACTGCTCATACCTTAACTCCCTGCACAAAGCGTCTGCCGCACGCTTGGTTTCGGTGAACACCAGTACACGTGGCTGTGCACCCTGTGCGGGTGACACTTCCTGCAACCACTCAAAGAATCTCTGTTTCTTGTCCAATTCAGTTACAACCCGGATGTCTTGTCGAATGTTCGGGTTAGCTTTTGCCGCCGATATGCCAACCGTGACTTTCAGCATGTTCTCGCAGAAGTCCTTTGCAAGGTCCTGGATGCTTGCCGGCCACGTCGCAGACCACATCACCGTCTGCCGTTCTGGGCGCACTTGTGACACGACCCGTCGGAGCTGTGGCTCGAAGCCCATATCCAACATGCGGTCTGCCTCGTCCACCACAAGATACGACACGCGGCCCAGGTTGGTCACCCTTGCCTCCAAAAAGTCAAGCAGGCGTCCGGGTGTGGCAATGAGCACGTCAACACCCTTGCGCAAAATCTGCTCTTGTCCTCGCCTCGATACCCCGCCATACACCACAGCATCTCGGACACCCAGAATCTCACCAACACGAAACGCTTCCATCTGAATCTGCATTGCCAGCTCACGTGTAGGTGCAAGGACCAGAACAACAGGACCCTCGCCAAGTTCGGCAGGCTGCTCTTTGACGTGGAGCATTGCCGGAAGCAGATAGGCCAGAGTCTTTCCACTGCCAGTCTGCGCCAACCCCACCATGTCACGCCCTGAAAGGGCCAGTGGCCAACCAACAGACTGTATCGGAGTCGGAGCAGAAAACTCACCCCTGAGGTACTCAACAACAGGTTCGGGAAAGCCGGCATGGTCAAATGAGCGAATGGGTTTCGGAAGCTCTTTGGCACCCTCAACCTCCACGCCATTCTGCCGCAGGAAATCCTGCACTTGTTCTCGGGACTGCGAAGTCACTGCCGGGTGCTCCTTGTAAGACAGCCTCGGTGCGGAAGATGCCGGCTTCGACCAATCGACTGGCTCCAGGTTCATGCCGGCATGGCTCAAGTCCCGTGGCCTTGCGCACGGAGGCTCCCCAACGTGCTTCTGTACCTCTGGCTCCTGCCAGGCTTTCGAAGGGCGCATCTCTTCAGGAACTCTTGAAGGCGGCGGAGGTGGTGCCGGTTTCGGCGCCGGTGGCGGCGGCTGCAGCTTGACGCCTGCTCAGCACAGAAAGAGAACTGAAGTGGGATACTGCACTCCGATCTGTCGCTCTCGGAAGTGCCGGCTCTCCTACCCTTGCCGTGAGGATTTCTCCAGCCTTCTGTGCCTATCATGGGGCGTCTTAACTCATTTTAACGGCTGTTACCACTTGCTCTCAAAGCGGAGACCCCAAAACCTGGGCCGTCACTGACCCAGCCTGCCTGCTCTGAACCTATGACTAGATGAAATAGATGTCGAGTTGTTCGGAAGTTTCGGAAGGGGTGACATTGCGGGCCAAGAACCATTCCAGCAAACAGGCCTCCAGGCTTTGGCAGGGGCTGCGAGTGCTCAGTCTCAGCCGTAGCGACAGTGGCTGTGGCTGTGGTCGCAGCCGTTGGCTCTGTCTCTCGGGGCTCTGCCTCTTTGGCCGGCGTTGCTTCGACAGTCTCGATTGTGCTGCCGACCACATGCGACGGTTGCGGCTGCGGTCGAACTGCCCAACTCGCTGGATGTTCATCTATAGGGATGAAGGTATCGTTGTCATAGAGCTCTGGTCGCCGACCAAAGTTGTCCGTTACCAGCATGCGTGGAGCAGAACACTGCGCTCCCGCGGACGGGCAAAGGCGAAGCCCAGGCAGCAGTAGCCTCGATACTCGGCGCGAGGCCATGATTCCCAAATGATGCATGCCCGCGTGCTTTGTGTTTTGTAACCTCCCGTGATTCATGTCCTGTCACTATACAGCCTCTGGAAAGCTTCAGAACAGCTGCACCGACTGCACGCTGTCATTGCAGATGACTGCAACGTTGCTTGGCTCAAGATGCTGCGGAGAAGTCCCTGGCAGGCTTCCGAAAGTCAAGGAAAAGCTAACCTCACGTGACGGGCGTTGAGGAGCCAGCTTCACGGTGCCAACGAACTCTCTTCCTGGCCTCACATCCGGATTTGAGCTGCGCACTCTCCGATGGAAGCCTGCTTGTTGAAGCGGTCTGTGTTTGGACAAGCCACTGCCCTTCGAACTGGAAGGTTTCGGCAGGCAGCACCTCAAAGGCTGGAGGGTTAGGAGGCTCCACGCCAGGACTGCCTTGAAGAACTTCGTGCATCACTAGGGCAACTGAGCTGACTGCAGACACTTCACAGGCCTGTTCCAAAGCCAAGAAACACCCTCTTCAGCAACGAGCTACGTCGCCTGTGGACCCTTGGCTGCCATGGTGACCTCTACAGCACAGGCATACCATCCGGTCTTGCAGAGTCCTCCCCTGACGGCCTACCTTGAAGGCCAGAAGTGTTCCTGCCTCCACCACAGCGCCGCCTCACTTCCGGCGCTTTAACCTATGTTTAGATCCTCTTCCTGCTGCACCTTGGGCTCCAGCCAAGTGTGCTCCTCAGAAGAAAAACCTCCTTGCCGTAAACTGCTTTCGCAGCCTGCAATGGAAGGGAAGGATGTCAACGCGGCCGAGAGACCGAGAGAAACAGAATCAAGGACACGTCGGGCAAAAAGGATCTAGACAGGGAAAGGAACTCAGGCCAAAACGCGGGACAAAGAAAAGAGAACCCGCCATTGCACGCAAAGCAGAGCTTGCCTCGCAGGAGATGTGTCCCCAGCCCTTCTCTTCATTGTAACCTCAAGGGACAACTGTTGCAGATTCGCTTCTTTGTAAAAGACAGCCATGCCAGGAAGGCATGGTTCCCGCAAGCGCTCGAGACTCGAAGTCACTTCAAAGTTCACAGGTTCTGTGCAGGTGGACAAACGGACTGGAACGTCAGGCACACCACGCTACTCAGCGAGACTTTGAACCAAAGATATGGCTGGAAGAGATAAGTCCACACAAGAACCGTGTAAAGGTCAGATTGAGCAGTGGCCTTTCACAGCTCCAAAGAAGAGTTGGTCAGGCGCAGGCCTGATAAAGAAGGTGGAAGGCTCAGGAAGGGATGATTAGGAAGAAAAGATACAAGCATAGTCTGAAATCAAGTGACATTCAGGAGTAACGAGACTCAGAGAAGCTGCGAGCACGGTACCGCACCTTGCAGCACTTCCAGCACTTGGAGGCGGCGCCAGCATGCGGGGCATCTGAGGCACAACCGGAATCCTCAGTAGCAACAGGACATCGAAGCTTCTGAGGTTTCGCACATTCAAGTGTTAAAGTTAAACACTACACCTTGATGTACTTCTTGATGGAAGACCTCACAGAATTCTGCTTGGTTCGAGGGCCCAACATCAGTGGCGGAGGCGCCCTCCTTGGTCGCGAAGGCTGCTGGACGGCATGATAGATGATGCTGGTCCTGCTGGTGGTGCTGGTGCTGCTGGTGGTGCTGATGGTGCTGGTGATCGTTGGAACCGTTTGCGGATGTTTCCGGATGGGATCCTGCTGAACGGGCTGGGACCGGACTAATTACGGCTGGGAGCTCCGTGTTCAGAGTGGGGGTTTAAGCAACATTATGCTTCCCGACGTCTTGAAAACTGCGACATGGACAGTGGCAAACACCCGTCTGCAGCCACGAGGCACTGCAGGAAAGGCTGAGTCACGATGCATCGCAGGAGCTGGAGAAAGTGGGCAAACTTTCTCGGCCTAGCAGAAACATGAAGCTACGCGGATGACTTCAGGCGCCTTGCATCATATGCGTGCGTGCGTGCGTGTGTGTGTGTGTGTGTGTGTGCCTGCATGCCCTTCGTCCCAGACACCACAGTGAAGGAAACTTGCCTTAGAATCGCTCCATGTGATTTGCACCCGGTGTGCGTCCTGTCCAGAGATTCTGAGGCATCCAACTGATTCCTCTCGATGACACCGCCGACCACGGAGGACTTCATGAAGAAGACATCCTTCAGTGCCGATGTTACTCGTTCTGACGAAGCAACGAGCCTGCCTTGCCGTACATCTCCACCACCTCAGGACTTGTGACGAAGCCCCAGCCTCAGAAAGAGGAAGATGAAGCACTATGGGGGTCAACCTGCGTGCTCTCAGTCTTCTTATCAAGCCGCCCTTCTCGGCATTGTAGGACTTCACCGTTCCAACCATGCTGGAGCCTAGCAGTGGAAGCTTCCAAACCGATAGCAACACGGCAGCAAACCGTCCTGCATGCTGATTCACAGGCTGGCTGTACACTGTCATCGGGGCCGATCGCGCCGTCGGCATGGGCTGCAATTGCTGACTATATCCATGTCCTTTGGGCAATGATTCGAGCAGTTGAGGCACTCGAAACAGCATCACCGGCTCAGGACTGTGCCGTTCATGGGTCCGTTCACAGATCCCAGAGGGGTAGCCTCGGCACACTGCACCTCACCCGTTAAAGCCAGCTCGGATGGCACGGCCGAGGCCTGAACGGGTCTCGCCGACCCTAGCACCACAACTTCGCTGGCCTTTCGGTTTGAGCACCATGTCTGGTGGCAACGTGAGGTGTGTCTGCTGCTCTCGACTGGCACGCTCTAGACTAAACTCGAGTGCTATCTTGCGATCGCAGTGCTACCTTAAGCCTGAGACCATGTCGTAATACTCCTAGAAGTCTGAGACATGGCAATGAAGCATTGTGGTGCGTTGCCACTTGCACTGAAGGCCCCAGAGTCTGACACCAGAAGACTTCTCGGCTTTCGCGGCGCAAACTGCCTGTGGTCCTCGCCCGTGGTCGACCACATTGAACATGACCTCAGGATCTCAAAGCTTTCATGGCATCACAAGAAGCTTTTGACAACCCTGGCCTGGTCTCCCTGGCCACCGCCCGACAACGCGCTCCTCAAGACGAAGATGTCCTGCAGCAGAGACAAGCCTCTGATGGTATCACATCCCAACACATCGAACGATACTGAAAGATAAATGATGTCAAGCAAACTGATGCTTGAGATTCTTGACTGATCCCAGGTCGGGGCCTTGCCATAGATAGCCTGCGTCTGAGGGCATTCGATGAAGCCCCAACCTGCCAGAAGTCCACAACTTTCGATCGGGTCAGTCCTTCATCACTGATATTGTGGACATGACTGAGTCATTCCGCGGGGTTGCTCTGACTGCTAGTCTTTCTACCACGAAGAGTACCCTCAATACCATTGATTTCACGACCAACACATCTATTTCTGCACTATTTCTGTTGGGATTACGATCAGCAGTACCAGACAGTTGATGCCTTTGCTGCCATCAAGATTACAGTCACTGCAGTTGTCGACGACGACTACGACTTTTGCGACTACTGCGACTACTACTACTACTACTACTACTACTACTACTACTACTACTACTACTACGATCACCACCACCACCACCACCACGACCACCAACCCCAACTACTACTACTACTACTACTACTACTACTACTACTACGACTACGACTACGACTACCACCACTACCACCACTACTACTACCACTACCACCACTACCACTACCACTACCGCTACNNAGTACTAGTAGTCCTACCAGTACCACTAGTACTACTGGTGCTACTAGTAGGACTACTACTACTACTACTACTACTACTACAGCTACTACTACTACTACTACTACTACTACTACTACTACTACTACTACGGTGTCCCCCCTGGTGCGGCACCCGGTCGCTCACTTCGTAGATGTTCCAAATGTTGAATGAGAGCTGTCGCGGTCCAAGATGCGGCGTTGCAAAGACAAGGATCGTCC